TAATTGACAGTAGAGAACAGGATATACTCATAAATACAATACGTAAGGACGATACAGAACATGTAAATTATGTAAAAAATTAAATTGGTGCTCAACGGTTGTAGCTTCCCCCAAATAGTGAGTTTGTAATAGTGCTTTAGCATTAGCTTCTGCTAAATACTGTATTGGTTGAGCATGTTAGCGTTAGATTTGGGAAAATGTCATGTTGGTAATAGCACTTTAGTGTTAGCTTCCACTAAATAATAATGGTATATCACTTTAGCTTCTGCTAAATACTGCTTTGGCATAGCGCTTTAATTTAGTTTATACTAAAAATAGTGTTTGTTTAGCGCTTTAGCATTATCTTCTGCTAAATACCAGCACCTTAGTCATAGCTTCCACTAAATACCATATTTGTGTAGCGCTTTAGCGTTAGCGTGCACTAAATACAGTGTTGACGTAGCGATTTAGCAGAACTAGTGTTTATGATTAGTGCCTTAGGGTTAACACAACTAACTTTTAAGTATCAGTGCCAACCACTGAATATGAAGCAACAAGAATTGTGACAAAAAAAAGGTTGGATAATAAACCAGCTTCTGAAAAATCTGCACAGATTACATTTTTAAAGCGTTAGATAGTGTATAGCATGATTTCCCCATCAGAAAGACATTTTAAGCAGAGTTAAATTTCCCATCTAAATCTACAAAATTAAACATTTAGAGATTCTGAGAGGAAACAAACATGGAAACGAGTAGAATCATCTAATGGCAAACCTCTGCCACTATCTGCAGATTTTTTTTTTTTATTTTTTAACTCTCTGACTGAACTCTGTTCTCTAATTCTGTCTTTAGAGCCTTAAAGGACTGACATGTCTTCTGCTGCCTTCACATCCCCAGAGGTTTGAACTAAAGCTGCAGCTCTTAAAGCTTGAGCCGCAACATGGAGAACAAATATCACATGATTCTCCAGGCTCGTCAATAAGACCTTTGGCAGAAGAGAGAGCTGCACTTTGGGGCAGCCAACTAAAACTAACAGCAAAATTCAAGACATGAAACCGCTCCAGGTTAAAATAATAAAGATCCAATTAAAAGATACAAAGAAATCAAAAACTTCTTGTGTTCTGCTGCATACACAGACGGATTCTTAACCCAGCTTCTGTTTTTCCAACATCTAATGATGCGTTCAGTTTGCCTCGGAAGTCTGGGTTCAGCTCTGGAAATGACGTCATGCCCATGATGTGTGTGTCTCGCTGCAAGTCGGAAAACCAGTGGGATTTTCTGACTTGTTGTGGTAAAGCATCAGCAAAGCCAGTGGATACTGAAATCTGAGCTGGAATCCTGAGTTTCCCAGTCAGGATTTCAGCTTTAGAGCGGACTCTTGTGACTTTTACAACCGTAAACTTAGAAAAACATCGTCATCTAAAGATTTAGATAAAGTTGGTGCGTCTCTGGCGCAGATATCTGAAAATTCTTGAAATAAATTGATGTTTTTAACAACAAAGACAATTCCTTGCTGTTACTGCAACCTCCTTTAGCCAGAAGGACAGCACTACTGCAGTTTCCCACAGCTGCAGCACACAGGAAGTAGGGTTCCCACACACATTTAATGGACGGATCTCAGACATTTGCAAACACAACTTCCTAGACTTCTTAGGCCTTTAGGTTCATTTTAAAAATACTAATTCTAAAGTTCATTATGGACATGGTTCATACACTTTTCCCACAGTAAAATGAAAACATGCTGCAGGCATTTTCATGGTACGTTTTCAAACTTTTCCAGCACCACAGTTTGGAGAAAGATACAAAATACAAATGAACTCACTATTACATTATTTTTTTACTGTTATTAGTAATGTGTTGTGATAGTATTACACATTCTACAGCAGGCACAAGGCAAACCAAAACATGAAATGTTATCTTTTGAAATCTCATACACACGTCTTATTCACCTGGCTGGTATGAGAAAGTTACAAAAAAACAAACAAAAAAAGCTAAAAGAGTTTTCTCACCAAGTTCTCTGGCATTTAGCAAGTAGAAATAATTTTGTAAATCTAAATAACCTAAAACAATTTAAGCTTAGTCTGATTTAACTTCACACAGTGTGGAAAAAATGTCTTATCATCTTTAAATATCTGGTTTAATGAGTAAAAAAGACCTTCCAAATTTAGACTTTTAAAGAAACGTTAGACTGGACTTTATTACACAGTTTAGTTTGAATATGCAGCACTTTCAAGGACTTTACACTGAAATCAAGTACTTTCCAAGCCTTGAAAATGCCTTATTGAAAGTCAAGCATTTTCAAGGATTTCAAGCACCCGTACAGTTCTATATCGATTAACGGAGGATATTTTTACAGAGAGAGGGCAATAAGATTTTAATCTGAAGAGAAATGAAAGAGGGAGGGACGAAGGAAGGAAGGAAGGAGGGAAGGAAGGAAGGAAGGCAGACAGGCAGGCAAGTCACATGGAGGACAAGACACACAGAGAGAAACTATATTCTCTTCCGCTCACACCAACGGACACATTGTGGAGAGTCCACAGAGGACGGTTGGTTTTGTGTCTAACTAACCGTATCTGTACTGATTTGGCCATAAGATGTGGATCATTATCTTGCAGAAAGAACCGGCCGTGTGCTCCAACAAGGTTCCCATGGTGACCGGAAAAGAAACGTCGTTGCAAACTGCCTCCACCCACCCATATTACGGTGATTTTACGGATGATTTTTCACATATGCATCCTTTGTTGTCCACCAGACCCCCCTGGACTCAAAGCTGATCTCAACTTACCAAAACACAAAGTTCTAGTCCAGGTCCAAGTTAGCAAACTCCACATGAAGACAGACGCAGTCACTTCCACACAACAGGTTGCCATCTAGATACTGTATGACTGTTGCTATGGAACATGTTGCAGGATATGTCGATATTATCGGTACCGGCAGACAGTAGTCATTTCTTAACATGACTACTACGTACATGTCTGATAAATAAAACTGAGCCGATATTAACAGATATTTATTTCCATCTTGTTGTTGTTTGTTTCTGAAGGGGGAGGAAGTTGTTCATGTGGTATTTGTTTGGTCATGTGACGGTGATAACTAATAGTACTAAATCTCTTGCTACACTATGCAAACACTCAGTCAGCACCGAGGAAGTTTCACTTACCTTTCCAGGCTAAATGCTTGAATTGGCTTCACAAGCAGGGCTATCTGCTGCCAAAAGGTTAGTTAAATATATAAAATAAAATCGATAAATATCGGTTATTGGTCATAACGGCAACACCAATCCTCCATTTTACTGCATTTTGACAGATTTCACATGAAGGAACTCTAGATGTGTGGCTCATTCTGCCTCTGATGAATGAGGCACAATGAAGCAGGTACGGCGTTGTGAGAGTTTAGAGGTTTTCACTGGTGTTGGTGTAAATTTATCACCTTGGCTGTTGGTGCTTCAGCGAGACGGATGAAGAGTTTGTTGATCCCTGGAATCGGGCTGAAGGAGTAGATGAAGTGACTATCCTGAAATGTTGAAGAGATACAAACAGGACAAAAAGAAAGCCGATTACTACACAGTATAAAAGCTTATGGAAAGAAGCAAATTCTTAGAAAGATTAAATTGGGTATATTTCCATAAACCGACCAAATACGTTTGGAAATAAATCTGTTCGGTAGGTTACTAGTTTTATGAAATCAGTTTGAATAGATTTAGCTGTGATCCATTCAACAATTTCTCAAAGATGATCGAGAAAGTATTTTTAATCCTGATTACTCTTTTATCTGATCCTAATTATTTCTACACAATTATTACAGTTTGCTTCTCTAAAAGGTCAAATCTATACAATGAAAGCTTTTCTTTGAGTGAGTTCTTCTAAATGTTGCAGTGTAAACTGAGCGTTTTAAAATAAACACAAACGATGTAAGTTGACTAGTCAGTTGGCAATACCGGGGTGACTATTGTCAAGAAGGAATGTGCAGATGTGACCTTTGTGGATCGAGATAAAATCATTTCCACATGCAAGTGCTGGCCGATCGCCGATCTTCCAAAATTAAGAAAATCTGTAGTTATCACACAGACCGCAATAGGTTTGTTTTCCAATTCCCTGCTGTTTTCACACTTTAACCAGTCAGTTTCTTTTAAATCCGGTTCAATCGGCCTCACAATAAAATAAACAACAGAATCTGCACCAACCAGGAAAATAGGCAGCTGGAACTTGTCGTTGAGCACCACAGCATGAACACTGCAGGGCCCGCAGAGCCTGGCTATGATCTCATTCAGGAAGTTGGCGTGAAAGATGAAGAGTAGAATGCCTGAACCTGGAGTAGAACGAAAAAAAAAAAAAAAAGAAAAACAGAAAAGAAGAAAGATTTGAAGTCTACATCAAAAGCAAAATGACAGCGCCTGAACTCAGGTGAACTCGGCTGGAGCTTTTTTTTATAAACAGATTTGTTATACCAGCCGTAACAGAAACCACTGGAAGTCTAAGGACATCAAGATCTTTGATGCACATATATAATGTGCCGTAGAAAAATACTCATACAGGCTGTTTCTTTTAGATGCAAATTTAAGATAATTTATTAATTTTTAATTTTTTTTTTAAAATTAGTCTCCCTCAGTGCTGAATTAAAAAATGTGACCATTATATGAAAGAGGCAGTATTATGTGCTTTCCAGACATATCATGACATTATGTAGGACAATAAAGTAACTATGTTTCATTCAGAAGTTGTAAAAATGCCGTATCTATCAAATATGACTTCAAAAGATATTTTACTTCCTGATTTAACACCTTGAAATTGGGTCTATGTCTCTTTAAAAACTCCTGGTCTTTATGAAACTTCGCCTTCAGAAAGACATCACAAAATGGCTTCTCTATTGAGCCTTTAACATTTTTTTTATTTTGCATTGAGAAGTAGCTGCTATAATGAGCTCAGCACAATGAACAGTCCCACCACGTGTTTGCTAATTGCTGTTGACTAGTCTGAAGGAGCTGAGTGGGGGAGGAGCTTCGTACTCAAAGGCTGAGCTAAGTCCAACCAGGCATTTTACACAGGTGAATGGTTGCCATGGGAGATTAGAGGATTTCTCAAACATGCATGAAAGAGTCCAGGCAACACTCTCCAGGTATGGTTTTGTTTAGGGAATGACATTATAACATGATATAAAGGTCAAAAAAGTTGATTTTACATAACACTGCCCATTTAATAAAACAAATAAAAAATAATTTCACCTTCTGGTTGTGGCTGCGCCTTGTAGAGAAACTCCATGGAAAAGTCGGGTCCCTCACAAAGCCTGTGGCAAGCCAGAGGGAACACCCGCTCCAAAACCACCAGCCGGGACTCAAAGTACGCCCGGATGGTGTCCTCTGCCACACTGGACAGCCTGAAGGACAGAAACATAAACAAAAAGTCAGTTTGAATGAGATGTGACATGTATCAAACAGATTACTCCATCCTATAATGCAGGATGACTTTAAAGACTCAATAATGTTAATATTTTTCAAAAATGTTCCTCTAGAATCAGGTTTTCTTAAAGACTATAAATGCAAATAAATAAATAAATAAATGTAAATAAAGAAGAGCGATCATGAAACCTGAAAGTGGCACTTACTTGTTGATGTGGTCCTTGACGAGGTCGCACACCATCAGGTTGTTGCTGAAATTGGCGAAATACAAAGCCGTGTTCTTGTGCTTTGACAGGATGTTGCAGTCTGCTCCGTATTCCAGCAGGAGGCGCACTATGTCAGCATTCCCTCTTTTGCAGGCCTGAAAAGTGGAGAGAAGAGATCAGGTTCCTCTGATTCATTTGGATAAGAGGTCTGAAGGTCAAGTAAATCTAAATCAACTGTGTTATTGCCAACATTAATAAGCAATTTTTTAAATTAAAGCTATGAAAATGTATTTGAAAGTTACATTAATTTTTTTTTCATAATTAAAAGGCATACATTTTCGATATTTAAACTAGGATATTCTCTGACAATACAGTTAGAAATTTCTAAGAAGAAAATCTTTGCTGTTTGATAAAGTAATTTGCTACACAAAATGCCAAAATGCTCTGAAATTGAAGTAGTAAATGTAGAGGATGTGAATATACATATATAAAAATATATAAATAAAGAAAAATAAAGAAATATAGCAGCCAACTAAATAATGAATCCAGGCACTTTTTTGCCATTGTGCCTCTGTGGAATATTCTGCTCACTTTCATCAGTGCCGTTTCCCCTCCCAGCGTTTGAGCGTTGACGTAGGAACCGGCCTCCAGCAGCATAGCAACAGTCGTCAAAAAGTTCTGGCAGGAAAGACAGATAAAGTTGTGAGATTTTGTCTGTCCAGGATTCCAAAGATAATTAAATGTTTTTTTTTGTTTTTGTTTTGTTGACCCATCTTGCGTGATGGATACCTTTTCAGCGGCGTGCATCAACGCCGTGGTGCCGTTCTTCTGTCTGGCGTTGACCCTCACTCCCTTCCTTATTAGCAGCCGGAGGATGTCGTCCTGCCCCCCCGCTGCAGCCAGCATGCACAGGGACATGCCACTCACGTCCTGTGGACAAACCGGAACAAATGAAGACGGCTTTAAAACACAGAATTGACGAAATGACAAAAGTAGGAGTTTGTACTGGACAAAAGTAAAATGGGAGAAAAATTCTTAAAATGAAAATCAATTTTAAACTATTTTTACACTGCACCAGATACACAAGTACATCAATTTAAATCTAAATATTATGACAAATAAATAAATATGGAAGCACCATAAATGCTACAGTTAACTAAAACGCACAACTCCAAACTGCACCAATATCCATTTTCTGACTTTTTAGATTTGTTTAATTGGCTAAATTAGAATGAATGCGAGTGTTCATCTCATCGAAAAACCTAACTTGTGAACCAACGCAGGTTGCAAAATATACGTCATGCAAAAACAAACGTTAGGGTAAAAAAATCCCTTTCAAGAATCTTTTTTTTTTCCACAAAACACTTACGATGTCAAGCCCAGAAGTTTTTTTTATTAGAAGTGATAAGTTCCTTACAGTAAAACATTAACTGAAGCTACATACAAGTAAACAGGATAAACAAGCAACGAGTTTTTTTTTTACAGTAACATTGCATACAAACAAAAGTTTCCACAAAGCTATTCACGTAAAAAAAAGAAAACAGAAATAATAATAAATTCTTGCCACACCATAAAGCTCCACATCCTACTAACCGTTGCTACTTCAAAGCTCCCCTTCAGCCAAACTGAAACATCGGACAGTGACTCTAATGACTTTGGTATGAGAACGTGAACACAGGCTCAACTTAGGTTCACTAGCAGCTACTAAGGCTAGAAAAAACCCTCTGTAACAGGCGAGTAATGCTTAGATCTTAGAAGAAAGTTCTCTCTTCACCTTAGTGAGAACAAAAATGACCTTCATGATGTTTTTAATTTTAAAAAAGTATCTACACAACACAATCTATATAGCATATGCTTTGTTGAATGTACAAAGGAAAATAAATAAAGTTTGTACTGAACTGTAACAACAAAATTCACCTTCTTTCTTGCCGTTTTTTTTTTATTTTTTAGCGCAAGCAATAGGAGTCAATACTCAACCAAACTAACTTCCACATATTAGGAAATTAAACTTTTCAGCCACTTTCTGTCAGGCACATTGATAACATCAATCCAAAAGTAATTAAAACATCTTTTTTCTGCAAAAACACCCCAAAGCAAAATAAGAAAATCTTACTGTCTAGATCAAAATTTGCATAATTGATGTGATCTTAGGTGGACAGAAGAATTAAAACAAAATGCACCACAGTAAGGCAGCTGGATCTTAGCAAGCACAGATTAATGGTAAACATCCAGTAACTCAAAGTAGTGTCAATCAAGCACAATAAAATAATAAAAAGTTGTAAACAGTCGCTTTTTAGTGTTACAAAGTATTTTGTAATACAAATGGGTACAAAGAAAAACTACCGTAACTAATTAATAATAACATGACCCTCTTTAAAATCCGCTAAAGAACTGTCCATGTCTTAGTGAAAAGTGTACAAGACAGGTTCTATGCTATAGTGTTACAAGAAAGTTGATAAAAACCTACCTACAGTATCGGCTACTGGCTGAAGACATGATATAGTAATGATACACAACAAGGTACACCTCTCACATTAGCTGGGTTGAATGCAAGGATTCTCGAAAAGGTTTTCTGTTAAATAAAAATACATAAAATGCTACTAAAACAGTACAACAGGAAACAAAAAGGACCTCAATGCAAGCCAATTCTCAGTCAGAAATCACTCTTCAAAAATATTTAAGAGTTGGATCCTTTGGATATTCAGTCACAGGATTTACTGAATAAAGTGAAAAATGTCTCAAGCTGCAAATCCTTGTCCAATAAAATTCACATTCCACCCCAATGTACAAACTGATATGCATTACGGATGAGTAACAAAACACTAGTAGTGAGCATATCGTATTTAAAAATCTTCTTAACCCGAGGCAGGTTACAGAAAAATCATTCTTTCTTTCCCACATCTGGGGATATGCATGCAACAAAGAAGCTTGTTTCACTGGATTTTGAAAACATAAGGACATTTAAAAAACAAAAAAAACAACAAAAAAAAAAACAAAACCTAAATCTAACTGGAAGAACGGCAGGACTGTCTGAAAATGCAAGAATAAACGTAAAACAACAAGTGAGATCACGGCAAACATACATTATGGACGACACAAATTTAGCTTTTTTCCCCTTCTTTCCCACCCCAATCAGATTGAGGTTAAAGCCACAGACCTCTCATGTCCTCACATTGTTTTTGTGCAAGTCTAGTCAAATTATTTACAGGGAAAGATACACAGGACCATCCCACTCATTGCTCGAAGTCTGAGTCTCTGGTTTCGGTGGTCTGTCCTGTTTGGAAGCAACTGCATGACCTCTTCTTTTGAGTGACTGAATAGAGTTATGTACAAAATATTTCACTTCCCTCCATGTTCTGGTGTTCAGTGCCGGTTCGGCAGCTAAACATCTATCGCATTCCTTTTTCCCCGGCACCTTCGCCAGCTGACAAAAGTCTCCAAATTGCCGCCTCACTGCTGCCTGCTCCTCCTCGCTCCATAAACGCTTGTTTCTTTTTTGAGGCTTCACGCCCGGAGGGGCTCGTTTTTTCACAGAAGACACCGGTGCGCTTTCCTGTACCGCCGGCGCACTTTCAGAAACGGCATGTTCGTGGATTGAAGGAACAACCTGCGCAGATGCGTGGACCCTCGTAGGGCTGGTGTGGTAGGGTGGGGTACTTGAATGGTCAAGAGGAGAGAACGAAGACATGACAGGCCTACTTCTGTCATTTAGCGTGGAGAATGCAGAAATCACTGGTGCACTGAGAGTATTCAACTGTGTATATGTAGGAACCATTGAAGTACATGGGGTATTAAAATGCGTATAGGAAGGAATCAGCGGTGAGTTTGTAGCTTCCAGTGGGGTATACACGGATGAATGCAACATACCTGTAGTATTCTGTCCATAAAAAGACGACATGGACAGGCTGTGGTTGTTCTCTGATGCGTATACAGAAGACACTAAGGTATTTGTAGTGTGGTGTGGAGTAAACGTAGGAACCACTTGAGTATCTGTGGCATTTAGTGGTGTGAAGTTTGAAACCAATGGCTGACTCGTGTGGATCATATTAGTATTTGAAGAACAAAATGGCGTGTAACTAGCATTAATCTCCTGGGAGAACGGTGATGGTTCCCTTATGTTTGCCGAAGGAGGCATTGTCATACAACAGTTCAAGCTACTTTCTTGCAAGTGATCTGGATTCACGGTCGTCATCGTACAAACACTCGTCTCCTCCATTTCAGACTTTACGGTTTGGTCTGGAGTTTTGGAACTCTTTGTGCTCAAAACGTCTTTATTCCCATCAGACCTCAGCTGGTTATTTCTCCTACGCATTGTTTGCAATGTGTTGTGGACATAGTTTTTAACGTCTGTCCAAGACCTTCCTCCAAGATCTGGCTCAGCTGCTATGCAGGCATTGCACGCTTTCTTGCCTGGAACCTTCATCCTCGTGATGAATTCATTCAAGTAGCGTTTGACAGCCATCTGCTCCTTCTCACTCCAGGGCCTTCTTTTTAAAAGCTGCTTTGGTCGAGTTCCTAAAAACACAAGATTATAAGGAATTATTTTATTTATTTT